GTATAATATACGTAGCCGTACTTCTTCTGAGGTACCATCTAGAGACGAGGATTCTAAGACTGCAGCCGTCAACCCAGAAAAGATTTGACTTATTGCAGCATCTCACTATTTCAAATTTTTATCGTATTAATATAAGAAGGGACTTTGCCAATGGACTTAACATTATGGTTTATAAATTCTGGTAGCGTACAGCATAAACCTCAAGATAGTTTCATGTAGAAAAGGTGTTACTGAGTTGGCCTACACTAATGTTTCACTGTACTTCTTCAACGCTACCAAAAGTTTCTTATGAAATACTTGGTGTTTATCTGAATCATGCTTACTTTTTTTTTGCAATAATGACGCAACATGAAGCTGACGTTTTATCCGTGGATCTTAAAGTAGCATAACTTAATAGTTGGAAATGTAGATTATACTCGTATGGAGAATGTAAATTTAGTACAATTTTTACTTTTGTTCCCCGAGTTTTATGCAAATACATGAATCGTCGCATACAAAGTCGGATTCGCGGTGGTCAGACGTCAAAACTATGAGACTAAAGTTGTCAGTGTCAATCTGCGTCTTATCGGTTGGTTGAATTATCAACTGTGTCAGATATACTGGAAATTTGCATACAAAAGAACATTTTTAAGTTGTTTGAGCCCAGCAGCTGGCCGTTTGCAATTCATATGCCTTTCTTAACTAAAACAGAACAAGGAAAGGAAGTAAATTATTTCCAATTTTTAATTTCGTTTTCTTAATCTCCATTTATTGCATCATTCCACCAACAAAATCATATGTTAGGCATCTACGACGTTACATATTTTCTGAAAACCGCATCACAGAATGTTCTAACGTCAAAACTCAAAAAAATGCAATTTGAGAAGATTATTACATGGAGTAAATGGAAAAAACAACTAACAAAGTAATTTCCAAAGTATCTTTTGTCGTTGAGTTCTCTTAATAACTGGTCCAATTACTTGCCCCAATACATCAAGATTTTGAAATATTTTAACCCCAAAATCAATTTTGCTAATTTGGCTTACCTATTTGTGTTTGACATTAAAGTATTTTGAAATTTTATCGTTACATAAGGTAATTTCGGAAACAGATTTGAGTTCCCATTTGAAAAATGCATGAATCCTAAGAGTTGTTTTCTTCTTTCAACCGGTTAGTCAAAAGCAAAATTAGCATTATTCGAATTACGATATCACAATCTTAATGTACTCATGGACAATTACAAATTCCACCATAAATGATACATCATCATCATAAGGTCATCAGTCTTAAGACTGGTTGCTCACGCACCTCCACTCTTTCCTATCCTGAGCTTCGTATTTCCCTAAAACTAGAAAAACGCACATCCTTAACTATTTGCGAGCAGTAATCTAATCTATGTCTACCCCTCATAACTACCGTTTATCCCTCTAATATGTCTCTGACTAAACCTTCATGCCTGAGAAGGTGTCCTACCAACCTATCCTGTTCTCCTATTCTTTCTAATGCCTCTTAATTTCTAACCTTCTCTATCCGCGGTATCCTCATCTTTCGCCTATAACACCACATTTCGAACGCTTCTAACATTTTCTTTTCTGCCGCGCCCACTGTCCATGTTTCGCACCCCTACAGCGTCGCGTTCCAAACATACACCTTTAATAAATGTTTAGTCGATAATAAATACTCTCTTGGTTATTTTATCCTTCTTCTATATTTCAAAGATTGAGATATATCGAAAGCCAGTCGTGCTTTGATAATCCCAAATCCTAATTCCTTGCAAACTTTATGCGTCGGATATAGGGATTCGCCACTTGATTTGATTTTCAAATCATTTGACTTATTGTCTTGAGTAGACTTTAGATTTTAAGTATTTGGTTAAATACGTATTTTTAGGATCAACGTCAGAAATATTACTGGCAAAAATTGGTGTTTATGTTGTTGGTCATAATTCCTTGCACAAAATTTATTACGCCGTAGAACTGTAATAAGTAAATTACTTTGGAAAACAGCTTTGTTATTGAACTGCTAGTATGATATCTAAAGTTAAAAGCTTTTTCGTTGCTTGAAATCTATACAATTATCGAGGCGGTTGTAGCTTATTTTTAATGTTTTTTAAATATTTCGAAGCATGTTTTTGTTGTTAAGAATATACTTTTTAGCTTTTGTTCGAGCGTAATTTTCTGTCTTTCATTCTCCGAATACTTGCTCTCTTTAACAGTCATGTGCTTGAAGGGTCGACCGACAGAACAAGACATTTTGGCTCGTTTTAGTATAAATAGCCATTAAAAATGTATTTTGAAAATTAATGCGTTATCTTTGTGTAAATTAAACCTTTTTAAACTTGTATTACAAAAGGAATGTCTTAGTTTGTCTATTTAATAATATGTTGGGGGTTAATTTCGGAAACTAACGAACCAAAGTTAAAAGCTCTTTCATGGTTTGAAAGCTATACCATTATCGAGGTGGTTGTAGCATACCTTTAATGTTTTTTAAATATTTTTAAAACATGTTTTGTTGCTAAGAATATATTTTTTAGCTTTTGTTCTAGCATAACTTTCTGTTTTGGCTCGTTTTGGCATAAATAGCCATTAAATCTGTATTTTGAAAATTAATTTCTTTAATCTTTGTGTAAATTTAATCTTTTTAAACTTGTATTACAAAGGGAATGCCTTAGTTTGCCTATTTCGGAAATTAACAAACCAAGTTAAAAGCTCTTTCATTGCTTGAAATCTATATCATTATCGAAGTGGTTGTAGCATATCTTTAACTTAATTTATAATTTACTCGAACCATAAAAAGTGCCAAAAATATTTGATATCCTTCTCCTTTTTCAAGAGCGCTTTTCAGTGTTTTTGAAAACACTTTCAATTTTATTTTAAATTATTTCACTAGAGAAGCTTACATTATTTTTTTACAACCTAGTTTGAATACTCTCCGCACTCAGGCTCACGGTGGCGCCAGCAGTTATTTGATTCTGCCTCTGCTGACCGTGGGCTAACACGTTACAAACGGTGGAAATTTCCTTATTACTAATGAATCATTAGTATTTATTAATACTTTCAGGCGTTAACGTGTTTACGTTTACGATAATCGTTTTCGAAAAAATTGTAATGTTTAGCGTTCGGATAGCAAAATATATAGTGAAATAAATGATCCTATGATTTTATTAAGTTTATGCTACACAAACAAATGCTAATAACGGTAATATCTGTTGTTAACATCAAGTGAGAATGTGTTATCTAAGGATAAAGCCAGTACAACGGTTTGATATGGTGCTTTTTATGTTGGGATCGTAGTAACGATTAAAAATTAGTTTCCGGTAAGTTTTTTACATTTCAACTTCATCTAGAAATTTCGATAGTTAGGATACAGTTTTATTTTGATGTTTTTTCTTGATTAGATATGTAGTTTTCATATTTACTATATCTATTACAAATTTATATAAAAAAAACTTCGAAAATTATTTTAAGACCTCAAAAACTAATTCATCCTTTAATTGTTGGAAAGAAATGCTGCATCCCATATGAACTATGAGAATTTTTAATAATAAACACAACACAATTTCGCCAGAAAAAGACAATTTTTATGATGGTACGACTAGGGAAGCGTATTTGTGATCCTTTTCTTTCCGAATACTCGCTCTTTTTAATACAATGATCAAGCGTGCGTCGATTAAATTGTATTAATGTAACAATTAACCATTTGTTTTAAAAATTATGAAACTAAGAAATTAATTTTTTGTCATATACTTATAGTTTTTATTTATTATGCGTACCTACCGATATAGTGCTTTTAATTTCAATTTCTTTNTATTGTTAAATATTACAAAATTTGTTCGTTCTTGGAATTTACATTGTTTTATAATTTGACTAGGAGAATATAGAAATTTTTATAAGAACTAATTTAACTTAATTTTGTTACAGCTACTTTTGGTTTTCCTTCTCTTTATGGCGGTGAAATTTGCTAGAAGTCCAGTGTTAACTGGTTGCTACTGCAATTGTGAGTATTGCAATAAATCGTTATTTACATTATAGTAGGTACCTCTTCTTCGTAATTGGTTATATCTTTAAAAAACAAAGGACTGAATGTATCATCTTCAATTTCTTCGTAATTCTAAATTTTAAGAGTTGAAATAATTAATTAATGATAGTTAAACATCGATTCTATGGAACGGCGTAAGACATAGTGTAGGTGATAGTTTCCAAAAATTTTTTTTACATATTCTAGTCAAAATTTTGGCATCTGAATGTTGAAATAAACGAATGCAGATATTTTGCAAAATAATGTGAAGATATTCTAATTTTCTGTTTTCTTTTCTCAATGAATTTCCATGATTAAAATTGGAAAATGTTAAATGCAATCTTGTAACTTATAGTATTGAAAAAATTGTTGACTGACATTGTTTTAAAATCCATATTAAGTTGTGTTATATAATATGTACCTATTTATTAATTATTAATTTTACAATTACTTTTCAATTCAAAAAACTTACGAAATTTGTAAAAGAACTAATTGGTTAGTAGCTATTTAGTTTATAAGTTTTGAAGATACATTAATCGTTTCATAAATAATTACCTCTACAAGATACATTAATTTTTATTCATTTAGCTCCTTATAATCTAAGTAATATTCTAATTTTCAATTCACTATAAGTTCTAACTTATCCTTCCTAACTACAACATCCAAATTCTACTTTCGTAAGTTCTGATTAAATCGTCTTGTCTACAACTTTAACTCTACATTCCTACAAAGTTCAACTACTTTCGTTTTATGCAATCTTTCAATTACATATAACCTTTTTTAAATTTTTTGTTAATTAAATAGTTTACGTTCTCGTATTATTTTATTTCTTCGCTCCATCTATCTTCCGAACACGACGAGTCTAAAACATTAATAGTGTAAGACGCTAATCTTTTGTTCTTTTTTTTTGTCCTTTCGTAGTATGTGCTTATCGATACAAATATTATTAAATAAATGAATCATCTCTTCTCTCAAGGAAAAGAAAGAAATTAAAATTGCGCAACATTCTTTAGTCGACTGTTAACGTGGATAGTTGCTTTTGTGATTTGTGTTAAGAAAATATAGATAAATCTAATTAGGTGAGTTTTCTCACAGAGTAATCTTTATGCTAAGATTTAGATGCTAAGTTTTTATTATTTACTAAACTTTACCGATATACGATGATTTAATTCATTCAAATAAAATAAAGCTATGACCGTATTTTCGATGTAAACGTATTTGTATTTCTTTACGATTGTCTTGAGCACTGTTGTGAGACTCTGCCCTTCAGTGTTCATCTAATTATTTTGGGTCAAATTTATGCTAGCAATTGTACTGTCGTGAGACTCTGCCCTTCAGTACTGTAATGACATAAATATTTGCGACGGGGTATTTTGTGAGACTCTGCCCTTAATACCCATTGCACGTTCGAAATATTTGATGGAATGATTGGAGTGGACACTTCGTGAGATTCTGCCCTTAGTGTCATTGCACACTCAGCATTCCTGGAGTAGTCATTGTGTGACATCTGCCCGTAACTACTCTCAATGATAATCTTAAAGAAAACGTTGTTAAAGTACTCCATTAATTAATAATAATTTCCAAAGTAATCTCTATAAATATTATTANGTCTAAAACATTAATAGTTTCATCAATATCTTTACTTGCACATATTCAATATGTAGAATATAATATTTCAGGGATTCCTCTTCCTTTTTAGATATTTATCCTTTAAGGATGTCATTTTTTGTTTTCACCGTAATAAAAATATTACGTGAGTATAATAACTAGGAACATTCTTTTGTATTTTTTTGCATTTACGAAAGACATTTTACAGTTAGACACAAAAACTCAAACTTTAAACATTTGAAAAATATTTTGTTTTCATTTTTACTTTAATTTGTTTTTGATGTGAGTGAAGATTGAGACTGTTAAATAGGTATTGATTATTTGTTTTTGTCTTTGTTCCAGATCTTTTTGATTAACTTTACCAAAGGGCAGAAGGTTAATGGAATGGTCACGCTGGGAAAGAAGAAGGAACGAACTGCTGCCGCAACCCACAACGGGGTGAGTTTTTTCAACTGGTTCATCACACTACATTAATCGTTCCATAAATACGTTTACTTGCGTATTTTCAAGCTGAAGAATCAAATATCTGAGGGTATTATCTTATTTTACATTCTGTCCTTCAAGGGTATCAAAATTCTTGTAATGTTTGCACCATATTAACGAATTTTATAACAATTTAGGAATAATAACTAGCAAGTATTTTTTAATGTTATAAAATAATGTTTTGCATTTTACAGCTTAATTTTGTTACTATAAAACGTTTAGATATTATTTTACCTGGTTATAAAGTCAAACTCATTCACATTTACAATTATTAAAACAAAAATTCAATGTTTGACGCTGTTTACAATTTTTTTTTTTTTGAATTGATTAAGTATTTGTGAGAATTGTATAGTTTTGTATTTTCGTTTTTACATTGGTTTTTCCCGAAGTGAGTTAAGATCGAGACTGTTCAATAGTCTTATTTTGTTGACATTCTTTTAAAATCCAGTTTAACATACTTTTCATATATGATGTCTGTTCAAAAACTATCGCGATTTTTGTGTTCTTTCAAAACTTATTTATTTATACTTTTGAATATCCATTTTGTCTTCTTCAAAATAATCCCCACCAGATATTATCTATACACTTACATACAGGGTGAGTTTTTTCAATTGGATATTCACATTACATTAATCGTTCCATAAATACCTTTACTTATGCATTTTGAACCTGTATAAATAAATATTTCAGGATTTTCCTTTACTTTAGGTTTTATTGCAATGTTTGCTCCATAATCAGAAGTTTTAAAATAGTTTGAGTATCATACCTAGCAATATTTTTTAATGTTATAACACAACGTTCTGCATTTTACAGCTACATTTTGCTAATATAAATATTTAGATATTATTTTACCTGGTTATAAAATCAAGCATATATTCATTTACCCGTTAGAACGAAAACTCAAATTTTTTTCTAACGGTTTTTACAAATCTTTACTGAATTAATTAAACATTTGTGTTGAATTTTCATGAACTGAGTATCTGAAATAAAAAACTATTCAGTAGTATTTTTTCTTTAAAAAACTGTAACTGACATGTTTTTATATTCATTGTCCATAAACTAGTTACATGCTACTTCTTATCTGTTAAGCTTCTCTATTCTACAGCACATTCTCTCCTTCCTGTCCTTACAATCTATCCACACCTGCCCTCTTCCTGATTATGGTCTCAACAACTGACATATACTTACACATCATCTCACAAATTCTTCTTCTCAATTTCTTAGCAATTAACTCTCTCATCTTATCCTCTCGCCTGTCTCTTCCCTATCTTACGAACTATCGTATGTCTCCTATTTGTACCCCAACTGCTTCCTTAATAAGAAAATAGGTGGACCAGTGTTTCTTCTCTAGTCTTCTTCACACATAGTCTACATCTCAAATCGTTTTTTTATTAGTCCTTTCTATATTATCGCAATTTATTCTAGCCCAAATCTCCTTATAATCTTTATTTTTGCTAATGCTGTTTAGATCCTCTGGCTCATTTTATTCCGGTATTAAATCCCTATACATGTAAACTATTGCACATCAAACATGCAACCGCTTGTCATTGCCTGCCTAGCTGTCTCATCCTCCACCTGTCCAATCCATCCCTGATTATGGTCATAATTTCTCATTCCACTCTTTTTCCAACGTCATTCTACAAACTTCCGTTGATCATATCTCCTGTAATCCCTCCCACACTTTTTGCCCCCATTTTGTCGTTTTATTGTTTTAAATTGTAGCCATCTCATCCTCTAGCCTGTGTCTTCTCCATTCCCTTACGAACTATGTTATCTCCTCTTTTTGTACCCCCAACTGCTTCCCCATAACAAAATAGGTGAGCCAGTGTTTCTTCTCTAGTCTTCTTCACACATAGTCTACATCTCAAATCCTTTTTCATTAGTCCTTTCTGTATTACCGCACCGCACGCATTATAAACTATTGCACGTGGAATATGCAATCGCTTGTCACTCCCTGTCTAGCTCTCTCGTCCTTCACCTGTCCAATCCATCGCTGATTATGGTCATAATTTCTCATTCTACTCTTTTTCCAACGTCATTCTACAAACTTCCGTTGATCATATCTCCTGTAATCCCTCCCACACTTTTTGCCCCCATTTTGTCGTTTTATTGTTTTAAATTGTTGCCATCTCATCCTCTAGCCTGTGTCTTCTCCATTCCCATTACGAACTATGTTATCTCCTCTTTTTGTACCCTCAACTGCTTCCTAAATTTCTTAACAAGTCGCTGATTATGCTCATAATTTTTCACTGCACTTTTTTTCCAACGTCATTCCACAAACTTCCGTTGATTCTATCCCTCCACACATTTTGTCTCCATTTTGACGCTTTATTTGCTCTTATTTCCTCTAACAGACATATTTTTGACAATCTATCGGTCTCCATGCTTATCACATCTATAGAATATTTTGAAGCTCTTCCTCCAAATGTGTATTCTATGCTAGTTACCCCTAATTCATTACTCCAGATATATCGTGAAGTGCATCTCGACACCCCTAATACCATTTTGCAATACATTGATTGTACTTCGTCTAGACCACCTACGCTACTCCAGCTCCACATTTCTACGCTTCTACAATGTTATAGCTCTGAAGATCGACTTCATAAGGAAAACGCGGTCTTCCCCTTTGTCTCTACTTGCTCTCTTCATTACCCCCCAATACGAATATGAAGTTTGCGGAAGAACTAATTGTTTAACTCTTAATTAGATTATAGATATTGAAAATTTATATTTAACTTTGTTCTAGATCCTTATGGTTTTCCTTGCCAAAGGGATGAAGGAAGTCCATTTGAATAATGGTCGCGCTGGTAGGGAAGGCACTCTTTACAACGGTAACTTATTTGATGTTTACTCCTTATAATTACTCTCACAGTTTACGATTTTCTAATAACTAGCTAGTATTATCTTCATTATAAAAAATTCTTTGCAGTTTAGACCTTCACTTTGCTAATATGAATATTTATTATTTTACCTGATCATAAAACCAAACAAGAAACAACAAAAACTAAAATTTGGCGTTTTTCACCAATTTTTGTTGAAATAATTAAACATTTGTGAAAATTGTCTAATTCTATACGTTACTTTTTACAGTGGATTTTCATAAAATAAGTAAAGGCCAAGAATGTTAATAGATAGACAGATAATAGCATTATTACCAAATGCCCATATGTCGCTGTTATTTTTCATAAGTTAATTGTCATTCTCAGGTGTTAATTTCTTTTCTGGAAAGTAATTCCTCCTCCCTAGCTTCCACTTTCCTGCTATTGGCCCTGTTTCCTTTTACAGCTTCTCTATTTCCAGTATTTAATTGTATCGTGTATGTTACTTTTAAGCTGTCTTTAAAAGTACATTACTTCCCTCTTTTCTAATTTTCTCTTCATATTTTATGGCCCTTTTTCTTGTCTTATTTGCCTGTTCCTAATTTTAGTAGGTAGCTTAAATATTTACAACCCCATTTTCTTCCGATCTTTTGCACATTGTAATAAGAAGAAGAAATGGAATCCATTGTTTCTTTAGCTTTCAGTTAATTTTGTAGTTTTCAGTTTTACGCAGCTGGCGTATATCATTTCGATATTGTTTTGCGGGCTCTTTTGTCATAATTAATAAAATTTTGTAGTTTCTTGATTTGGCAGGGGCTGATATCAATTTGGAACTTGAAAATTCTATGGACCATGACATTAAATCCGGAAAACAATATCGATGCAATATTTTAGATTATCCATTTGCAAGTTTAGAAATTTTTGGGCTCTCTTCAGAATCTCAAGGAATTGGAAGGCATTCATGAAATGTCGCTTTACCCCATTTTTAAATTTGTAATACCTTCAGTGGCCAATGTGAGCAACTTTCATTCATCATTTTATATAATGTTGGATCGATGAAAAACTTTTAGTGGCAAAAAGGTATTTTGCATTTTACAAATAGAAAATACGTTTGGAAAAGTATTTTAAATAAAATACAAAATGCTTTTCCCAAAAAATTATTTAAATGCAAGATAAAAATTGGTATTTTTTATTTTGTATTTACATTTTAAATGCAAGTATTTCAAATAAATCACATCTCTGCCTATATGTCTATTCAAAAGCTTGTAATGTTTGTGAATGAATTATTTGGTTAATTCCAATTTGTTTATAGGTATTAAAAAATTATATTCGAATTTGTTCCAGGTTCCAGATCCTTTTGGTTTTCCTCATGGATGGGATGATACAGTTTCATTGGAATGGTGGCACTGGAACAGTGGAAAGGAAGGCAGCCGTATATTGCCTCCTGCAACGGTAAGATATTTGCATTTGCATTCGATAAACCCTAGAACCTGTTTATTCATAGCTATAGATTTGAAAACACTAAAAGCATTTGTTAAATATAAATTTGAAAATTCATTTTTCATTTTTATCCACTATAAATTACCTCAACTTAATGAGGAACAATTGTTACTGTTATCACACCTTCGCCGGGAACCAACCCGGGACCTTTGCCTTTACGCACCAATGCTCTAACCAGTGTAGTGGATAAAAATTAAAAATGAATTTTCATATTAACATCTAATATTAAGTCATTAGTATTAAAAGTACTTGTTTCTGGTTTATTTGATAATAAATGTGATGTAAAACGAATGTATATATTAAATACTTAGCAGCAAATTATACGTAACGTTAAAACTGAGACAGTAGAGGAATAAAGAAGGAAAATTAAGGATATTTAAATCGTAATTGCAGTTAACTTTTTGTCTGCAGATGTTACGCGTTGTTAATAATTTATTTTGTTTTCTTTTTCACGTATCTTTATGTAATTTTGCCTACTTTTCACTACACAAAATATTTTTTCAAGAAGAGGGAAGATTATGTTACATTAACGACACGTCTTTAAAGTCCCATAGAGACAGATAGTTAAGGAATTTTATGTTTAATATAAAATAAGAAATAGCCATATGGACTTTTTAAGTTGGAGACGAAAAATAAAAATGTTAGTCATTTTTTAAACTAGACAAAAATCACACACTCTTAAATTTGTTTAATTTATTTTTCACCCGATTGTGTAACAAAATTGCTTGTCAAAGCTGTTAAATATTAGCAATGGCACAAAATAACTATAGATGTTAAAACATCAGATGAAAGGTAAGGATGTTGCCCATTTCCTAAAATAATAAAAAAGTAGGCACCCTTACAATGGTGAAAGTTAATTTATTTTTCGTGTAATTGAAAACAAAAATATATGGCCAATGTTAACTTAAATAAAATTTTAACAATTAAACAAAGTAGACATCAGACGAAAAATGAAAATGTTCCCCATTTCTTAAAATAGTCAAAAATAGGCACTCCTAAAATGGCAAAACATTTGATTTATTTTTCATCTGATTGTAAAACAAAATTATTTGGTGAAGCTGTCAAACATTACCTAGTAGCGAAACAAAATAACGATAGATCTTAAACATCAAAAAAATTAAAATGTTAAATGGTGAAACTTTGGATTTATGTTTCATCTAATTGGATTGTGTTTGTATTTTTTCATTACTCATTTTTAATAGCTGCACTGTATAAAATCTTGCAAATGTATTTCGTACATTTAGTTATTTCAGAATTTTGAGAGTCGAAAATGTTTGGTTTGCATAAAAAACAGTAAATAAGTAATTACGTAAAACAAATCTATAAAATTTTATTTGGTAAAGCTGTTAAATGTTAACAACAAACAACAAAATAACATTCGATATTTATTAGACATCAGATAAGTAATAAAACTAAGAAAATTTTTTATATTTTCTTTTTTGGAGACGACCCCTGGCACCTTCACCATATTTTTAACAACGCATTGAAATAGTAAGGAGTTACAAAATTATTTAATAAAGTTCTTATTATTAGCAATGAATCAAAATAGGGTTAGTTACTAAACATTACATAAAAAATAAAAATGTTGCCCATTTCTTAAGATAATCAAAAATCACGCAATCTTAAAATAGAGAAACTTTTATTTTATTTTTCATCTAATTACATTGCGTTTGCGTTTTCTCATTGTTTATTTTTAACAGCTGTACTATATAAAATCTTGCAAATGTAATTCGTACATAACTAATTACGCGAAACAAATCTCTAAAATTTTTATTGGGTGAAGATGTTAAATATTAGCAACAAACAACAAAATAACATTTCATGCTTATTAGACATTTTTTTCATATTTTCTTTTTTTGTTGAGAGGACCCATGGCACTTTTACAATATTTTTAACAACATGTTAAAATAGTAGTAAAATAGTGGTAGATTAGTAAGGATTTACACTATAGAAAAAATAATCTTTCACACAAAGTACCTATTTAGTAACTAATTGTGCAAGATGCATCTGTAAAATTTTATTTAATGAAGTTGTTATCGTTTGCAATGAATCAGAATAATAATAATTTAATAAAATCTTGCAAATGTATTTTGTACATTTAGTTATTTCAGGATTTTCATTATGAAAAACGTTTGCTTTTAACAAAAAATAGAAAATAAGTAATTACGCGATACAAATCTGTAAAATTTTAGTTGGTGAAGCTGTTAAATGTTAACAACAAACAACAAAATAACATTTGATACTTATTAGACATCAGATAAGCAATAAATCTAAGAAAATGTTTTCATATTTTCTCTTTTGGAGAAGACACCTGGCACCTTCACCATATTTTCAACAAC